GCGCTCGCGTTCGCACGCTGCCTGCTGCGCCGTGGCGCCACGCTCCTCACCCCGCTAGGGCCCCGCAGAGCGGCGAGGCGTGGGGAGCACCCCAGTCACTCTTCTGCTTCCGAAGCCACTGTCCGTGTCGCTGGAGCAGGAGATGTAGTGGACCGACCGCGGCTGCCTCTGTTGCCGCCTGTTGACAGAGAAACCAAATGAGACACGAGGGGCCTCGGGGCCGGGAGGGGCGCCAGCATCCTCCTGGCTGCCACGCGGGGCAGCGCCCAGCCTGTGGCTCCGGGAGCTTCCGTCACTCAGGTGACTGGTGCCGAATCAAAGGCACTGGGCTTTGCAGAGCTTGTGGGTCCATGGGGCTCTGTGTGTGGTGTCGATCACAAAGCAGCAGGACAGGTACTTTCTAAAAAAGGAAACAGAATTTTGCTCCCTGTGGTGTCATTTCCAAAGGCCAACCTGTGTTGGAGGAAAGGCGCCCTGTAGGGGAGATGGCTGGGTGTCTCCATGCCCATCTGCCTTCCTCTTCTTCCACAGGAGCAGAGCCCAGATTTACAGCTGGACAAATGATAGCGCAGGTGACCGCTCCCAGTCTCCTCTGCAGCTGGATGTGGCCCTGGGACCAAGGTCTGGCTTTTTGGGATGTGGAAGTCAGAGTGTCTGACGGCAGGTCTGAGAACTCCCTTACATGGCAGTTAGTGTGTGCTCTTTGCCTCTTTATCCTCCTTTCTGGCTGAGATACTGGACGTACTGGCTGGAGCTGGAGCAGCCGCCTTGGGCCATGTGGTAGAGTGGAGGTTGTACACAAAGAAGCTACAAAATAAGAGGCAATGAGTTCTTGAGGCTTCATGGTGTAGAGACGCTTAATAAATGGGTCAGGATGGCCTGACTGTGGACCACAGTGGGTGAGAGTTATAGACTCCAATCCTGGTGACCGATCTTATAGTTCAGACAGAGGCTCAGCTGTACCCTAGTTGGCGGAAAAGAGAACTTTCTCTTTCCTCCTCCTTTCTCCCTGGTGCGGGTCCCCGGTGAGCCACCTGGGCCACAGGACACCCACATGGATTCCCTAACTCAGCCTCCCTGGTGCTAACGGGAGTACTACAGGACGCATCCGGGAAGGGGTGAGGAGGTGAGGGTCGGGTGCACAGGGGAAGAGCATTTGGACAGAAGGATGTCTTGTGCAAAGTCCCTGTGGTCCGAGAGACCGAGGGGAGTTAGAGGACCTGACGGAAGACCAGTGTGGCTGGAGGGCAGAGAGGGGTAGGGTTGGGCGTGGGGACAGGAAAAGACCCGGAATCGGCTCTTCCAGGGGTTTCATCCTAATAAGAGCAGATTGGGAAACTTTAAGCAGTGGGGCACTGTGGTAAGATCTGTGGTTTGATCAGGCTGTGACAGTGGCCCCAGAGAGAGACGACAGTGGCATGGATGGGAGGGGGTGGTGGTGCAGGAGGAGGGAAGTGGGTGGATCCAGAAACCACGCAGGAGGCAAAGCACCTACTGTGCGCCAGGCGCCGCTCTAACGAAAGCTCAGCGAGCAGAGCTGGCGTTGGGAGGCGCGGGAGGGGGCCTTGAACTCAGCCACTGGAGGCACTTTACACGATGTCAGTCTGTTCCGTGGCTCAACATCTCCAAACGCCATCAGCCCCTTCAAGACCTGCTGCTGCATGTAACTAGGGTTCACAGCTGACACGAAACCCTTCCAGATGCTGTTAAACCCATGGCTGCATTCCTGGCCTGTATCTCAGGGAGGCTGGGGAACAGCTCCAGGTCACCAGGCAGCGATGCTCGGGGGACAGTGACGCAGTCTGCTTTCTCATCTGCCAGAAGTGTTACCAGCCTTTTTAATAATGTCTGAGTCCTTTTAGTTTAGTTTGTTTTACTCTCTCCAGAGGCTCAAAGGTAAGGTGTGTATTTACTCGATGCCAGCAGCTTAAAAGTGAGGACTTCATAGAAATTAAAGTCCATCTGTCCGGGTTGGTAGAACCAGCAGCCTCCGCTTGTCAGGATTTAGTGAGCGCTGAGAACTCCGCTGAATCCTGACAGGCCACTGATGTGCACTGAACACATGGCCACCTTGCCTCTCACCCCCTCATTATGGTCTTATTTAATCGAGGGAAGAACTATTATTATTCCCATTTAGTAGATGAGGAAACTGAGGCTCAGAAAGATCAGGTAAAGCTTCCTAAGTTATACAGCTAGAAAAACAACAGAGGCAACATTTGAAACACTGTCCGTTTGCTTCCATAAGCAGTGACCTCTGTTGCCTTCTTTTAATCTCCTAGAAGCTAAAGGCTTCCAGTTGGATAGTTTTTAGAATTTCCAGAGAGGAAAGAACATGCTTAATACCCAGCAGCCCCGCCCCTGGGCGTGTATCTGGGAAAGACGAAAACTCTGATTCAAAAAGACACCTGCACCCCAGCATTCACAGCAGCACCATTCACAATAGCCAAGACACGGAAGCAGCCTACATGTCCACCGACAGATGCCTGGGTAAAGAAGATATGGTATATGTACACAATGGAATACTACTCAGCCATAAAAAAGAATAAAATAATGCCATTTGCAGCAACATGGATGGACCTAGAGATTATCATACTAAGTGAAGTAAGTCAGAGAAAAACAAATACATGTCATTTATATGTGTAATCTAAAAAATTTGATACCAAGCAATGAACTTATTTACAAACCAGAAATAGACTCACAGACATAAAGAACAAACTGTGGATACCAAAGGGGAAAGGGGTCGGGGGGAGGGATAAATTAGGAGTTTGGGATTAACATACATGCTATTATATATAAAATAGATGAACTACAAGGACCTACTGCACAGTGCAGGGACCTATATTCAATATCTTGTACCAGCCTATCATGGAAAAGAATCTGAAAAAGAATAAATATATGTATATTTATATTTATAACTTTATGGTACACATGAAGCTAACACCACATTGTCAATCAACTGTACTTCAATAAAAATAGTCTAATAAAAGTGGACTTGACTTTATTTTATCAACTACAGATTATCTTCTTAATAGGTGACGTGTATTAGACATCAACAAACAGAAACACATCATTGGGACAATTACTGAACAGTGTCTCATAAATAATAAAATAAAGTGTACTTTTAACCAGCTTTAGGGAGGAACAGTTCATACACAATAAAATCCATGGGATTTGGGGCAAGCTTGATTAGTCTGGCAGGTGTAGACAGTCAGGTGCCCACCCTCACAGACATTTCCGTCTCCACCAGAGCCGCCCTTCCCGGCACCTCGGGCCCCAGGGAACCACTGGTCTGCTTTCTGTCACTGCTGCTTTGCCTTCCCTGGGATTTCAGATATACATGGAATCATGTAATATTTAGGGTTTTTTCACAGCGTGTGTCTGGCTTCTTTCACTTGGCAAAAAGCTCTCACGATGCATCCATCCTGCTGCGTGTGTCCGCAGTTCCTCTCTTTTTCTTACTAAATAGTGCTCCATTGTGTGGAGGTTCCCTGTTAATGGCCGTGTGGGTTGTTTCCAGCATTTGGCTGTTGTGAATAAGCTGTTATGGTCACTCCTGGGCACATCTGTGGTGAACGTAACGTTTCCTTTCCCCTGAGTGCATACCTAGGAGCGAGTCCAGTGGATCGTACGTACGGAAGGTACACGTTTAACTTTGCAAGAGACCGCCAAAGTGCTTCCCAGCGTGTCTGTACCACAGAACCCCGCCAGCAGCACACGCGTTCCAGCTGCGCCCTGAGTGGTGGCTGAGCATCCCTGGGCCCTGCTCGTTCCCCCGGGCCCTGGCTCTTCCGCTGTGAAAAGTGTGCGCTTGCTGAAGGCCCCCACCTCCCATGACTCAGCGAGGAGTCTTTACGGCCCAGGCGCCACCTGCCACGTTCCCCCCGGGCTGGTGGTGCAGAGGTGCAGAGTTTGAGTTCCCCGGAAACCTTACTTGTTCTTTTCTAAAATTTTCTTTTCACCAGAAAAAGAATTCTAAGTAGATGTGGTTGAAACCTGGGCTTTCAAAATTCTGAGGCTTAAGATATGATTGTGTTTTATACAGTTTCTTAGAAGTTTCCCCTGCATGACCCACTGGGCTGTAGCCAGGCTATCGGTGGTTCCAGTGATTCTTTATTTCACCTTGGCATGTCTTTTATCAGAAATCATATGGAAACTTTTAATTTATGGGCTTTTATTGCAATCCACAATTCACCCTGAGTAGGCTATTATTAAGTGTCCTCCAAGTTCTTATTGTGCCTTATCGGAGAATTGTATCTCAGTGCAATTCATCTGGAGTCATTCTTCACAGAGAGACTCTTTCATATTACCTTTCTTTCATCAGACAACGACAACCCTTGAATACATCATTATTCCACAATGAGCTTATGAATTATTATCATTAGGCAATTTTTTATGTAATCTGATGTTATAAACTGTTCCTTTGTATGACCGTTAGGGGAGACAGTAAATGTATCTGTCTGTTTTGATCCGCCATGAAAACAGTAATAGAAAAACCCAGTACGAACATCACATTGAGCCACAGACACACCGGATCTGCCGTGAGCTCGCCTGGGACGCTCACGCACGCGTAGCCAAGCACCCGGCCCCGCTCTAATGAGCCACAGGTGCCACCTGCAGTGCTGACTTAATCGGTCACGTTGAGTTATCAGAGTGTCTTAAGCAGGATTTTTTCTTCTTCACAGCAGTGAGTTTTACAAAAGGAAAAATAAGGGGGGAAGAGGGCAGTGGAGGGATAAATTGGGAGTTTGGGATCAGCAGACACACACTACTATGTATAAAACAGGTAAGCAACAAGGACCTGCTGTAGAGCACAGGGAACTGTGTTCAGTACCTTGTCATAGCCTAGAATGGAAAAGAATATGAAAAGGAATATATATCTATTAAAAGGCAAAGGTGTATTAAAAGGCAAACCAAATATTTTTTAAATGGAGCAAAAAGCCAAAGTGGATTATTTAGAATATCCGATTCAGGGTGTGACCTGGCAACCCAAAGAAGAGCGACCCCCTGCTGCGCTCCAAACTCGGGGTCACTGCCCCCCTCACCCTTACCTGTTCTGAGGGGACACAGAGTTTTCTTTCTGGTCGTAGAGAAGTGAGAAGGAACATTTTCTGCATGTGGCTTTTAGACCAGCATTGTCCTGTGACTGTGGCGGTGGGGATGTTTTCTCATCTGCCCTGTCCACTGTGGCACCCACCAGCCACTAGCCACGTGTGTGGCATTGAGCATGTGAAACGTGGCTAGTGCAACTGAAGAACTGAATTTTAAATTTCATTTAATTCCAATTAATTGAAATTTAAGCTGAAATAACGTTGTGGGGCTGGCGGCTACAGAACTGGACAGTGCGGTTTTAGATTGTCCACAGTTTGTGGTATTCATAGTCTGCATGACTGCTTGTTTCCATTAGAATGGGTAATTGAGAACAGACTTATTATTTTCCAACCTGGGTGATGCTCCAGCTGAGTGGGACATGTATCGTCCCTGAAGTAACGTCCTGCAGCTACAGACCTCTGGCCGTGGTGAGGCGAGGCTCTCACACTTTCCCTGGGTTGGCTCATCTCCTCCTCCCAACAGTTACAAAAGAGGTACCGCTTTTACCCTCATTTCACAGTTAAGGGAATGGA